AATCTTTGCTGTTACTTCATGGACGTTTTCTAGGAGTTTATGTTTTTCAAAATACAAGGTCTTTAACAAAAAATAACGTATACTTATTGTCGTCGGATTAACACCAAATTTTCACAGCTTTAAGGTGACAATGAGAGGTACTTGAAAGTGTCCAGACAAACTATTTCATCGATTATTTACCAACGAGTTGTGGTTTGAGTTGGGGGCAATGCGACTAAAACAGTAATTGAAATTCAGCACACTATTTTTTAAAACGCGTTGCTTGAATAAAACTGACCAGACACATTCAATTTACCAGACTATTGAACAACTAGGAAAAGTGAAAAAAAATACTTCTTATCGCCAGCATAAATGCGTAATTATTTTTTTTACATAAAAAGTAATTTTTCACTTTTGGTTGAGTAACGTGTCGTAGAATGCAGATACGGGCATGCAAAATACACTTGTGAAAAGCTTGAAGTCTGGCGATTCTAAAAATATATACTTTCCCGGGTCTATTTGTAGTCATTTAGTCACAATTAGAAGATGAAAACAAGTATGCAAATAATAGTCCCGCTACCTTAATATGGCACTATTTGCGTGTTTTAACGTGACGCAGCCCTACTTGGGAGTTGTTTAACGTGGCCCAGCGCTACCGGGTTGCGGGTTGCTTAACGATACGCTGTCTTACTACCAGGTTGTTTAACGACGTGGCACGACTAGTCCTAGAACGAACAGTCCTTGGAGAACTATGGTTGCAGGCGATTTAACGTACCACGGCGCTACTTGCAGGTTGCTAACGAGCCGCTGCCATACTTACAGGTTGTTTAACGTGACGCAGCCTGAACAAATTGTCCATTTTTACAGAAACATTGGCTGTAGTCGTGTCTAAATAAAATCTTGCCATGTTGAGGTAGCAGACCTTTCCATTCTAAAAGAAAAGAAAAGAAAACGTATTAATAGATGAACAACATTTATAATCTTCTGTTCAACGAAAACAAATACAAATGTTTGTTATATTACTTTTTGAACACTACCTGGTGATACCGCTTACAGAAATGTTATAGTAATAAACCCATATTTATACAGCGGAAGGAACATGTCCGCGTGACGGCCACTTTTAATGTAAAAATACCATTATTACGTTATTATTTGTCAAATTATGTGGCCCATTTAGTCAAACATGAATAGTTCTCTTTTGTTTTATTAGTAATTCCGATGACCCATTGACCACAATTATCATCTAAATTACAATAATTTATTGTGAAAATGGAATGAAATGAAAACTTACTTTCTGTACAGCGAATATGCCTGGTTTGTACAGATTACAATATACCATTGTCCATTTCTTGCCACGTGGTCTCTCATTTCGGATAAATAGGTAACCCTGTTCTAGAACCGATCCACACTAAAAAAACAATAATCGGCACTGCT